TTAGTGTTGAGTGAGTCCTTATCTCCCACAATGAAAGCTACTGAGTGTCTGTACGTGCCCTTGTGCATGTGCTTGAGTCTTCCCATTCTAACCGAGAAACCCAACTCCCTCCACACCCCTTCTCAACCTTGCTATTCTGTGTGTGCTCTGATCTAAGGCCAGGGATCCTTATTAAGCCCCCCCACAAAGGAAAGGATGGGTGAGGCAGCAGGGAACTTACCTGTCCCCCGTGGCTTTATTGTTACCCAGTAGCCCCCAATCTTTGTTCTGGGATTCCCAGCCCATACCCCACTGGGTCTGGCTCAGGACAACTGCGTGGAGGCAGGAGTTGGAGGTGGAGCTCCTTCTGGAAGTTGGAGGATGAGCAAGGGGGATGGGCAGTCAGTGGCAGCTGCTGCTGCAGGTGCTTTTCTCATACCACAGACCACAGACACAGGTCTGTTTACCTGCCCTCTCACCCTGGCCTCCCAGGCCTTCTCCCACAGAGAGAATTAGGAAACTTCCAGTTAGAAGGAACTGAGGCCGGGGCTGATCTGACCCCCGACCTGGGTGAGGTAGGCTGGTCTGAGCCCCCTCAAGCCTGAGGGCAAGGCAGTGAGTCACCAACACTCAGGTGGATCCCTGCTATGACTTCCATCTGAGGCACTACAGATCAAGGAATGATCAAGTCTCGGTTTTCCGTGGTCGGGGCTAGCAATCTAGCCTTCTGCTCTAGAATCCTTATCTCTAGGTGGAGTCTCTGCAGATCAGACTTTCTTCCCCATTACATGACACGTTCCTCCAGCAAACTTCTCTGACACTGAGGATGGCATAGCTGTGAGAGCCAAATAAGGTTAAAAAAAAAAATGACAAGTCAGAGAAAGTACTTAATTACCCAAACTCCCTTTCTTTTCTTCTCTTTCTCCCCTCCGTTCTTCCTTAGTATGCAATATCCAAAATTGCCTTTTCATTTGGATCCTCAAGGATTTTTTTGAATGAGGGACTAAAACAAATTAGAATTCAAAAATGAGAGGGTATGAGATAGCCCTTGTAGTTTGAATTTAAATAACCTGAATTCGGGTCCTCAGCAGGCTGTTTGCAGAGGGACCTAAAACACGATCAGCTTTAAGCCTCTGTTTCCTCATCTATAAAATGAATTTAATAATAACAGCCACCTCATAGGTTAGTAAAAAGGATAAAGTGATATCGTAGATAAAAGTGCTTTAAGGGCTCACAATAATAGCCAAGATTTACTGAGCACCATCAATGTGCCTGGCAGGATTCTAAGAGTTATACAACATTCTCTCGTTTCAACCTCACCACCCTAACCGACGGGTGCTATCGTAATCTCCATCCCACAGATGAAGAAATTGGATAATTTGTCCAAGGTCATCCAATCAGAAAATGAAATCGGGATTTGAACCCAATTAGTTTGGATCCTCAGTGCCCCTACTTTAAAATATACCATTCTATAGTCACTGAACCTAAACTGGTTTCACTTGTTAAACAAGGTTAACAGTACCTTCCCTACAGGGTTGTTGTAAGAGTGTAAAATGCTGCCAGACACACAGTAACACTGGTATCATTATTGTAAATAGGACTTGCCCAAGGTCTCAGAGGAAGAAAAGAGGTCATTGGACTTATAAGACTCCAGAGCCCAAGATCTTACTTAACTACTCCAATTGTTCATTTTCTAAAAAAGAAAATGCTCACCTGGAGACCAAAGACATAACCGTCTCTCTCTTTACACTCCCAAAAGAGAGAGACAGTACACCCTTCATATGCCAAGAAAATCATGCTCTGTTTCCCAATGATTTCTTCCAAGCTGGCCACGGGAAGAGTCAGCAGGATCCATGGGCGTGCGCTGCTCATTCACCAGGGCACGTTGATGGTGGAATGAAGAGTATTCCACACAGACTCTACCACAAGCTTTCCATGTGCGAAGATGGTGCTGATGGCCCTCTCCTGCTGGTAACACTGGACTAACCCAGACACCACAGGATAAGGATAAATGTGCTCTCATCTGGAATAAAATCCTGTTATTCCTTACCTCCAAGATCCGTAAGCTCCGTCTATCCACTGTTTTGGAAGTGCCTCCTAACATCTAGCTTCAACCCTTATTGCTGCAGTTGGTCCTTTCTCTGTCTCTAAGAAATCAGAGAGAGACTTGCTGGGGTTCTGTTAACTGGTCAGACCTCCAGTAAGAGTTTCCATTCCCTCATTCAGCCCCCGAAGCTGGGTGGATGGAGCTGTCCAAGAAACCGTGAGCCCAGGACCTATGCCAACACTGGCACTGAACGGGCACACACCCCAGTCTGTGCGGTCTTGGAAGGCAGGGCCGGAGGCTGTGGCTCCTCCAGAATCCAACAGGCCCTAGAAGGGGAGGACAGGAAGAAGTCCCTAGGCCCGACCCTCACGTCCCTGCATTTTCTGAAGTTTATCCTTTGAACACGGTGTTTTATTTATTGGGCTTCATTTAACCTCAGCCATGTCCTCCTGGGATCATTTATTTGGTAACTGCCACTCAGCCTGCTCTGGCATTAACCTCATAATCCTACCGATTTCCTCCAAGCTAGTTGGGGGTTTTTCTCAACTTCTTCCTGGGCAGGTAGGGGCTGATTCCAGTTCTAGTCATTACTGAGAAGGAGGCCACAGACTGGTAAGGGGCCTGCCTGGAGGACCATCTGGGGCTCCTTGCTCCCACCGTGGCCCGTCCCAGGCTGCCAGGGATAGATTGAAGCCGCCTTGGTTGCATAAGTGGAAGGTAAGGCGGCTGAGTGCCCACCACCACCACCGGGAGCTTCTTGAGTGGCTACTGAGGCCGTCCTTCAGCTCAGAGAGCCTGAGCTTCACCAATCGCATCTTGGCTTGGCCTGGAGCCCCGCCCCCCTCCGCCATCTTGGATTCCAGAGCAGTATGGGGCCCAATCACTGAATGGAAAGTGGGGGAGGGTGGGGCCGAGTCTGCAGCCCGCGCCCACGTGGCTGCCTGGCCTGGGCCTTCCCGCCACCTGCGGCCGAGCCCGGCCCCTGTCGAGCTGCAGCTGCAGCTCCCAGACACCACTCCAGCCAGTCGCCAGGGGATTAGTGTCCGTCTGTTGGTTGGGACAGCCTCAGTGGGGGTTGTCCCGGCTCAGACAAGGGCCTCCCCTTCACCTTTCCCCAGGACCACTCCCGCAGAGTCCAGTTTGGGCAGCGGGGATTGTGTTGGGGGGTCCGACAGCCTGGGGTGCTGATCTATCCCAGAGCTGAGGTGTGGGGTGACAGGGGCCCCCCTCCCCACCAAGCCTGAGCCACATGTGCTGGGAAGTTCATTTCCCCTTGTTTTGCAGAACGGGCTCAGGGATTGACCCTAGGAGTGACCCCAGTGTCAGGAGGCATTAATGATCTCCATACGGGCAATAAACAGGCAGACCGGCTGGCTTGGTGTGGAGGTGCCCTGGAAGGGGCCGCCTTATTAGCCTCACATTCGCTCATGGGTAGAGGCTTAATTAGCGAAGGCTCCCTCATCCTTCTCCCCTCCCCCAAACATCCTTGAGCTCCATGGGAACATGGCTGGAGTCACTGGAGTCCTCTGGCTGGTTCCTCTGCTCCTCATGGGCCTTCTCAAGAGGCGGCCTGTTCAGGTGTCAGCTCAGCCATTTGTCCACCTCCAACAGGACTTGGTCCTGATAAAGTTGACATTTTTAAAAAGCCTCCATTGGCCAAGTCCATACATTCTGAGTCAGCTCACCTTTTTGTCTACAAGAGCCAGGGAACAAGGAAGAAGGCCTTCCTCATCTTTAACTTAAATATCTCCTGACTATTTGAGCCCCATTTTCCCAAAGAGCAAAGGAAATGAATAGGTGGATAGGTGGTTATCAGCCTTGGGGGGGGGGGGGGGGTTAACAACCTTTAGTAACTGCTTAGACTGTTAAAGCACAATCTCATTTATTGCTTATCTCTCTCCAAACCCATTTCCATCGGGTTGGTTACTTGTTCTAGGCATGGGCTGCAGTTTCCTTATCTGTATAGTTCATTTACGATTCACCAAACACCACACGCTGGGCACAGTGCTAAGCACTAGGAGGGTGAAGCTGAGGAAAACCCAGGTCCTACTTTAGGGGAGACAGACTTGTAAACCAATGCAGTAATAAAATGTGCTCCGGGCTATAATCAAAGTCCATATTGAATGTAAGGAGAGTACAAAAGAGGTAATAACCCATCATGTGGCCTTGTTGAGGAAGGTTCCGTGAAGAGATGACAGCTGATGTCCTAATCCATCTTTGGAAGATGACCATGTATGGGGATCCTGAGACAGAGGCTGTGGAAAGGGCGCAGAGGCATGTCTGAGGAGCAGTGGGCTGCGGTGGGCCCTGTGGAAAAGTCAAGTTTGGAAAGGGCTTTGTCAACCATGTTAATACAGCCCTTGAACTATGTTGAGCTCCACAGAGACAGCCCCAGGGCAAGTGCGAGCAGGGCACTGGGCGACTCGGAGCCTTGCTGAGGAAAAATAACTAAATATGGGCAAAGGAGATCCTAAGAAGCCGAGAAGCAAGGTGTCATCATACACATTCTTTGGGCAAACTTGCCAGGAAGTGCGCAAGAAGCACCCAGATGTTTCAGTCCATGTCTTAGAGTTATCTAAGAGGTGTTCGGAGAGGTGGAAGACCACATCTGCTAAAGAGGAGGGCAAATCCGAAGACATGGCAAGGGCAGACAAAGGCTGCTCTGAAAGAGCATGAAAGCCTGTATCTCTCCTAAAGGGGAAACAAAGAAGTCCAAGGATCCCAATGTATCCAAGAGGCCTCTTTCAAACTTCTTCTGCTCTGAGCATCGCCCAGTAATCTAAGAACATCTAGGCCTGTGCATTTGTGATGCTGCACAGGAACTGGGAGAGATGTGGGGTAACCTGCCTGCTGCAGGACCGGCGGCCTCCAGGCCGAAGGAGAGATACATTAGGACATTGCTGCACACTGAGCTAAAGGAAGCTGGTGTTGGCAAGGCTGAGTAAAAGCAAGAAAAGGAAGGAAGTGTTCGCAGCCGCCGTCGCTCTCTAATGCCTGCGCCGCCTCCAGCTCGCCGAGCTCCAGCCGAAGGAGAAGGGGGGTAAGTAAAGAGGTCTCTATACCATGGCTGGTACAAAGCAGACTGCCCGCAAATCCACTGGTGGTAAAGCACCGAGGAAGCAACTGGCTACCAAAGGGGCTCGCAAGAGTGCGCCCTCTACTGGAGGGGTGAAGAAACGTCATCGTTACAGGCTTGGTACGGTGGCACTTCATGAAATGAGACGTTATCAGAAGTCCACTGAACTTCTTAGCCCCAAACTTCCCTTCCACTGTCTGGTGCGAGAAATTGCTCAGGACTTCAAAACAGATCTGCACTTCCAGAGTGCAGCTACTGGTGCTTTGCAGGAGGCAAGTGAGGCCTATCTGGTTGGCCTTTCTGAAGACACCAACCTGTGTGCTATCCATGCCAAACGTGTAACAATTATGCCAAAAGACATCCAGCTAGCACGCTGCATACGTGGAGAACGTTGTAAGTGCTTAAGAATCCACTGTGATGAGAAACATTTCATTCTTTAAAAAAAAAAAAAAATTCTCTTCTTCTTGTTATAGGTAGTTCTGAACGTTAGATATTTTTTTCCATGGGGTCAAAAGGTACCTAAGTATATGATTGCAAGTTGAAAATAGGGGGCAGAAATCAGGTAATTGGCAGTTTTTCCATTTTCATTTGTGTGTGAATTTTTTAAATATAAATGCGGGGACATAAGGCATTAATGCAAGTCAAAATGTTTCAGTGAACAAGTTTCAGCAGTTCAACTATATAACAATATAAATAAACCTGTTAAATTTTTCTGGACAAAAAAAAAGAAAAGGAAGGAAGATAAAAATGAAGATGGTGATGAATAAGTTGGCTCTAGCACGGTTTTTATTTTTCTGTCTACAAAACATATAAACACCCCCCATACAACTCACTCCTTTTATTTATTTATTTTTATTTTTTAATTACTTAATTTATTTTTGTTACAGATGTTTCTCCTTTTCCCCCATGGTTCTCCCCGCCCCCTCCCTCCCCACCCTGTGCCCACCTCTGTCACCCATGTCCATTGTTCATACATACATGCATATACGTTCTGCAACTCACTCCTTTTAAAAAAAACATTTTAATGTAAGGCTGAGTGGGATTTATTTTGAAACTGTGCAATGTCTTTTTTGGTATAGTTAACACTACTGAATAAGTCTTCAGATGGCCCCGTCTTGGTGGTATTGCCAATAGCTACTAACCTTGCCCGGCACAGCAAGGGGTTGTAAATGGACTCGGATATTTAAAGCAGGTTCTTGTTGGCACGCAACACAGGTTAGTTCTCCACAGGGAGTCCTCCCATGCCCCCACTGGGGACCGGACCCACACCTGGGCATGTGCCCTGACCGGGAATCGAACCGGAGACCTCTTGGTGCATGGGCTGACGCTCAACCACTGAGCCACACCGGCTGGGCTAAGTACATTTTTAAAAATCAGTACTATTGTCCTTTCCATAAGTCTGAAATTTCTTTTCTTTTTTTTTTTATTCACACCCGAGGACACTTTTTTTTTTTTGCATTTATCTTCAGATAGAATGGAAGGTAGAGAAGGAGGAAGTAAGAGAGAGAAACATCGATGTGAGAGAGACACATTGAGTAGCTGCCACCCACACGACCCCAACCAGGGCCGGGGACAAACTACAACCAAGGTATGTGCCCTCAGCGGAAACCGAACCCAGGACTCTCCGGTCCGTGGGCCAAAGCTCTAACCATTGAGTAAAACCAGCCAGGGCTGAAATTTCTTTTCTTGAAAGGAAACTTGTCTTTTGCCTTTCCCCGTTTTGGGTCACACGGACTATGACAGTGTTTGCCTTGTCACATAGCGAGCTGACAGAAGACTGACATCTATACACCCTGCGTATGATGGGGGTAACAGAAGTCCAACTGAGGCCCTCCAAAAAACTTTATCTAAGGGCAGTGGGAAGCCACGCAGAGTTTTTATCGGGCAACGGGGCTGGACTGATCACACTATGTTTGGAAAATGGCTGGTAGTGAATGGGAAGATTTGGGGGTGTAGGGTGCCAGCAAGGAGACCAGTTAGGAAGGCAGGGAAACTATTAGAAGGATGTTTAGGAGAAGTGGAGTAGGAAAGAGACAGACGTCAGGAGTGTCTTAGGCAGGAATATAATAGACATTTGTGATATTGCACCTCCAAGGTCCACTCCTCGTTTTCCGGTTCAGAACCCCAGTTTAGGTTGAGGGGAAAGAGTCATTCCCATTGGGCACCATTCGGTGGGACTGTCAGCCAAGACCATGCTGGATGCTCTCCTTCTAGAATTCTAATCTTGAGCACAAAGGCAGGAAGAAAGAACAGGTAGGAGTTGAACCACTCTCTTTGGGCCTAAGCTTCCTTACCTACAGTGCATTTACTATTCTATAAACAGTGCATGGAGGACACGTTCTTGTGATACTATGTTCTCCTGTCTTCATTCCCTGCAGGAGCTGCTCGCCCGCCCCGACTGCTCTGGCCTCCATCTCCCAGCCTGGACCTTCAGCCTTTCCTTCAGGTCGGTGAGTTGTTCCGTCCTTCCAAAAAATCCCCTCTGTGCTCAAGCCAGTGGGGCGCATTTCAACAGCTTGGACAACAGAACCCCATCTTGTCATGATGGCGTGAGGTGAGACAGAGGCAGTGGGGTGGGCGGAGAGCAAACTGAAGTTGGATACAGGGGCTGGAGAGTCAGAACACATCGTGCATGTTGAGGATCATACTGCTAGTAGGTGGGGACACTAAAGGAGAATTTGTAGCAAGAGAAAAGAGGAGACCAGGAATAGAATCTTGGAAGGTGTGAAAAAGAATAAAGCAAACCAGCAAAGTGACCCAAAAAAATTCAGTTGAAGTGTTGGCCAAGCGAGAGTCCAGCCCTGGCAGGAAAAGAGCGTTTTCTGAGCGAGCGAAGGTCAGCACTGTAACATGCTGGCAAGGGTGTCAAGAAGGAGAAAGGAAATGATTAGGGGAGGGAGGAGCTGGATGTCACTGGGGGGCTTCTGGAAGAGCAGACTACGTGCAGGGGAGAGACCAGTTCACCTACTTCCCAGGCAGGAGGAAGACCAAGCGGGCTGGCTACAGTGAATCAGGAGGCGCCATCCATTGAGAGGCTCGGACCCCGATTCCCCGGGTTTCTGGGAAGAGGCTAGCGCTAGCCTCTGCACCGCCCTTCTCTCCCACAGTCAGGTAGTCCCGACACATCGCTGGAGCCTCAGTCACCCAGACGGCCTGGCCTTGGGGACCTCTGCTCAGACTCACTTGGGAAGCCCGAGGCCCTGCTGAGAGCCTGAAGACAAGCCCACCGCTGTCCTGGATTCCCACAGTGGACTCCCTTGATGGTCCTCCCCTCCCAATGGCCTTCACAGTCCTGCCTCCGCACCTCTGTTCACACGGCACCCCCTCTCCCTTGATGTCCTGCCCACATGCACACATCCCGGGTTCCGAAGGAGCTTCACATACCTGAGCTCACAACAGCCCTAAGGAGTGGGAAGGAAACTGAGGCCCGGGGAAGTTAGGGGACTTTCCCAAGGTCACATAACTAGGCCTCTGCAGACTTCCAGATTCCGAGGGCTTCCAGATGCCAGGTCCCAGAATCACAAGGCTTAGTACAACCGTTGCCCGTTGCCCACGTTGTGGTATTGTTGGCTAAGTGCAGTTTGGCCCAGAAGGGCCTGGGGGGCAGTAGGTGCAGTGGGTAAGGGCTTGGCCTCTAGATCCATATGGCTTGGGTGTTATTACCTTGGGCAACTTAGCCTCTCTGGGCCTCAGTTTCCTTAACTGTAAATGAGCAAAATAATACTCATTTACTTCATCAGGTATTAAATATTTGGGAAGCATTTAGGACACTACACAGTAAATTGATTTTCTGAAAAGCAAATCAGTGAACCCGGTGATTTCGGCAAGGCAGCAGTGGCTGAAGGTAGCAGAGTGAACTCTCTGTGGTCCCGCTGCCTGTGGTGTTGCTTCGCCTCAGGGTAGATCATCCTCTTGGGAATCAGGCATCGCAGCCGCGGCAAAGGAAGCAGGAGAGCAGGCTCCGCCACCTGCCAGAGTCCCTTCTTTTTTTTCTTCACTTTAAAAAAATATGTTTCTAAGTTATGAAATAAAACAGATCTGGATTAGAAAAGCCAGTCACCAACCTTTCAGATGAGGGTGTTAATGAACCATGTGCCCACGCTTTGTGCATATTTAAGCCTTGGTGTCCAATTTTTATAATTTTCCAGGGTTTTCTTTTTCTTCCTAATTGATGTTTAGTCCATTACGTGTGCTCTCGACTACTTGCAGGAGCAGCGTTGGAACAACAGAAAAGTGACTTAAATTACAGCGACAGTCGTCCCTGCCACTCGCGCTTCGACTTCCGCGGCTTCCCTGTATCACGGTTTTTTCAAATATGTTCATTAAAAAGTCGATCGAGACAGTGACAATGATACAGTGCGCGCTCGGTCGTCTGAGTCAATTATACACCCCTGTATTACAATGAAAATGACTGTACGTATGGACTGTAGGCCTAGGAATTCGAGCACCCCAGGTGCAACCGCGAGAGTCTGGAACGGACTAACCGCGATACACAAGGGACACCTGTACTTGCCAGCGTGGCTGTGCGTGGGATCCGGGCCTCCCTCAGCGTCGGCTGTATCTCCGCAGCGGCCGCCAGGTGCTGAGAGAGACCCCGGCTGTGGACTTCTTCCTTGTTTTCTGTGGCTCATCTGTGCATTTCCTATAATGGGTTTGTATTGATTGCTATTTTAATAAGAAAAATAGAACTAGGAACGATAATGATAAGTGATAGCTGACCTTAAACATTTACCATGTGCCGGTATGTAAATGCTTGATATAAATCCCCTTACTGGATGCAACAGCATAACACAGGCACTATGTCCACTTTTTAAATAAACTTTTTATTTTAGAATCCATTTATAGAACAGTTGCAAAGCTAGTACATAGACTTTCCACATGGCTCACTATGTTCCCCGCTGTGAACACTTACATCGCTGTGGTGCATTCGTCACAGCTAATGGGTCAGTATCGATACAACGTTATCAACTGAGTCCATGCGTCCTTCATTCACATTTCCTTAGTCCCTTTTCTTGTCTGGGATCCCATCCAGGAGGTCACCTCACATTTCGCCATCATGTCGCCTCAGGCTCCTCTTGGCTGTGACGGTTCCTTGACAGCTTTGAGGAGCACCGGTCAGGTATTTATAGAATGTCCTTTGGTTGGGGTTTGTCTGAGGTTTTTCTCAGGATTAGAAGGAGGTTTTAGGTTTGGGGAAGGAAGACCTCGGAGGTGAAGCGTCCTTCGCATCACATCCTAGCAAAGGTGTATGTTATCAAGTTGATCACAGCACTGCCGATGTTGATTGATCTGGACCAGCTGGCTGCGGGGCGCTTGCCATGCTGCTGCAGGCCGGAGGAGGTCACTGTGGGCGTGGGGGACCTATTCCTGGGGGAGGGGGTAACTACGTACATTATTTGGAATTCTTCACAGTAGATTTATCTGTTATCCACAATTTATTTGTTTATTCAACATTTATTTATATCAGTACAACCTCATGGATGTTTATTTTGGGTTAAAATCCAGCATTATGTTATTTAATTTGTCACTCAGCTTGTTCCAGTTTTGGCCACTGGGTGCTCCTTCAGCTGGCTCCTGTGTCCCTTGGACATCCCACGGTCATCGTCCACCTTTTACAAGCGGATGGAAAAACTGGAGCTGAGACAAGGGGACACAGCCCAAGGGTCTCACTGTTGTAAACAGGGGTCCTTTCTAACTTCTGACGGCGAGGTGACCACTGCACCTCCCTGCCTCCACAGGAAAACTGTGCAAACACATACATATACATCTATATGCCTGTAGAAATTTAGGAGTTTAGATAAGGTTTTTCCTACTTACAAAACTTTTCTAATTTCTCTCTCTTTTTTTTTAATCCTCACCCAAGGATATTTTTACATTTCTCTTCAGACAAAGTGGGGGAGAAAGGGAAGGAGGGAGGAAGGGAGGGAGGGAGGGAGGGAGGGAGGGAGGGAGAGAAAGAGAGAGAGAAACATTGATGTGAGAGAGACACATCGATTGGTTGCCTCCTGCAGGACCCCAACCGGGGCCAGGGCCTAACTGCAACCAAGGTACGCGCCCTTGGCTGGAATCAAACCCGGGAACTCTCTGGTCCACCGGCCGACGCTCTAACCGGCCAGGGCCTTTTCTAATTGCTCTTAATCCATCATCTTTGGCTATGTTTTCTTTACATGCCTGTATGAACATCTAGTTTGTTCCCACAAATCCTTGTTGTTAGATATCTAATTTTATTCCTAGAAATGATTTATTGTCAGGCATTTCAGTGATTCCAAATTTTTGCGGATATATACAACATATGCCAGTGGCCGTTCCACCCTGGCACGCCGATCTCATCTAATGTACACAACACAGAAGAAATCATTAGCTGCGAAGGAATTCGAAACTTTGAAGTAGACTTTGAAACGCCTTGAAAAGCTGGGCACAGATGCTTAAAGATACCTAAGGGATGCAAAACCCCTGCGTGAAGAACTCCATATGAAGACTTTCAGAACGCCCGCAGTGGGTGTCGCGTCGTCCCTTCACAGGGAGCCCCTGCTGCCTGCCACCCTTGCCCCCGGCCTGGCGCACTATGGACCGGGCACAGCTGCCCCTCTGTCCAGAGCTGCAGCAGAGAGCAGGGCCCCGGAAGGAAGGCTGCACCACTGCCAGGCCCCCTCGAGGCCCCCCAGCCGGGGCTCGCACCCCAGGTCACACACTCCTTCCTGGGCCCTGGGAAACCTGGCTGCACGCAGATGGCGCTCTGTGGGTTGCCGCTGCCTGACCTTTGTTCCTTCCCAAACCCTGTCACATCCTTCCCCTCCCCAGACCCTCACGACAGCCCTGTGAGGAAGGCAAGGAAGGGAACTCTGCCCACAAGAGGAACTGAGGAAACTGAGGCATAAGGTCTAGTGACCGAGTCAGTAGCAGAGGCAGAGCTAGAACCCGAGTCCCCCTGAACCCAGCGTTCCCCCCACCCTCCAGCTGCAGCCGGTCTCTGCTCTGCCATTGACGTTTGGGGCCGCATAGTGCTCTGTCTCGGGCTGTCCTGTGCACAGCAGGATGTTCAGCAGCATCCCTGGCCTCTGCCCACGAGGTGCCAGTGTCCCCCAACCCCAGGCTGTAAGAACCAAAAATGTCTCCAAACATTGCCAAATGTCCCCTGGGCTTCAAAGTCACCCCCGTGTAGAACCACTGGCCTAGAATTTTCTGCCTCGATGGCATTCTTTCCCGTAATATTCTGTGTAACAACTGTGACTTGATTTGTGTACCTTTAAAGCGCTTTTCACATCCATTAATCTACAGTTTATTTTTTATCAGGCATGATGTTCTGATTTGGGATTTAAAATACGGTCACTGTGGCATATTCTCAGAGAGGACAGTTATCCTCTCCCAGGGGGAGGGAGGAAGCGGCTACCCCTGAACTCTTGCCCTCTGCCCAGAGTCCTGGGGTCCGGGGAGGAGCCCAGCCAGCGTGGGAAGGGCCTGGAGGCTGACTCTGAGTCCTGGGTGATCTGTAGCTGTGACACAGACCTTGCCCAGTGCTGTTCCTGCAGCCACCACACACCTTGTTCCTGTGCGGGGCTTTGCGCCTGAAAACAGACAGCTGCCTGCGGAGTAGGAGGGCTCGTGGCCATGACTGCGTCCGGGGCCTGATCACACGCTCACACGGCGCCCCCTCGCACCACCACCCAGCGTGGGGAACGTGTTCTCTAGGTTCACCAGGTTAGCACTGAGTTCTCCGGCCAGAGAAGCAGAAACACCGGCTCATCAAAGGGCTTGTGCGTTCGATCGAAGCTGCAGAATCGCCTAATAAAGCCTTGACCTCCCGAGAGGTGGTGGGATTGGAGGAGGGGAAGCTGCTTTGGGTTTTTCCAGGATGAACAGAAAGGTCAGGAGCTTCTGAAAGAGGAGAGTGTTAACCAGACAGGGGATCAGGGATCGGGGGAACATCTGGCCCATGTGAGGCTCTGGGAATGGAGGGAAAAAAAGTTGATTGGCCACAGGCAAGTGCGTGGATGAATGACCCTTCACACTCCCTCCTAGTTCCAAGTCCTCAAATTAGCTCTGATAGTGGTTCCCACCTATGCCGAGATGGAGATCCAGTCAAGCACTTTCTCTAAACTTACCTGATTTGAAAATGTACCTGGGGCCACTTTTTAGAATAAAGATACCTTGGCCCTTTGAGTGGTTCTGTCTCAGGAGGTCAGGGCTGAGCCCAGACGTTTTTAATACTTGTAAGAAGCACCTCAAGCGAGTTTGGAAACACTGAGGAGGCGAGTTTGTATTCTTTGCTCTGGGCATATTCTTTTCATCCTGACTCCTCCCTGAGAACTTGGCAAGCTGTCAGAGTCCTGGGCCTCCTGAGCCGCAACCTGCATGATCGCCCTCCCGGTGCCAGCCAGATGCCGGCACCAAGTTGGCATTCAATGCATATTTGTGGACTAAATAAATTCTCAAATAGACCTCTCCACATGCAAGACACATATCCTGTTTTTATTAAAGTAGAGGATGCCGTATTTAGGGTCCAAAGCGTTACAGAATTTTCTTTTTCATTAACTTTATTGAGATCTAATGTACATGCAATAAATTGCACCCATTTAAAGTATTAATTGGGCCCTGGCTGGTTTGGCTCAGCGGTTAGAGCTGGTCGGCCTAGAGACCAAAGGGTTCGATCCCCGGTCAGGGGCATGTACCTAGGTTGCACATTCCATCCCTGGTCCCGGTCAGGAGGCAGCCAATTGATGTGTCTCTCTCACATCAATGTTCCTCTCTCTTCTTCTATCCCTCTTCCCCTTCCACTGTCTCTAAAAATCAATGGAAAAAATATCTTCAGGTGAGGATCAACACAATAAAAATGTATTAATTGGATGAGTTCTGACAAACGAAAACGGTGGTGTAACCACAACCACCATCGAGATACAGAATATTTCCATCCCGCCCGAGTCCCCTCCTATCCCTTTGCAGTCAGTCCTCCCTCTACCCCAGCCCCAGGCAACTTCTGGTCTTCCTGTCACTACAGATTAACTGACATTCTCTAGAATCCCATGTGAAGAAGACCATGCAGCATGTATTCTGCAGTGTCTGGCTTCTTTCACTCCGCACAGACATTCTGAGATTCATCCACTGTGGTGGGCAGATCAGTACTTTTTCTTGCAGAGCAGTTTTCTGTTGTATGGATGTTACCGCGGTTTGTTTGTTCAGTCACCTGCGGATGGGCATTTAGACTGTTTCTAGACCGAGCTATTGACAATGAAGTCTCTATGAGCACCCATGGACAAGTCTTTGTGTGGACAGATGTTTTAGTTTCTCAGGGAAATTTCTAGGACTGGGATAGAGGTAGCCAGGAGTGGGGCCATCAGCAAACCCGCCC